CATTATTGATTTTTTATCTCACTCTTACTTCTATTGGCAGGTTGTTTTAACAGAAAAAGAAAAGGTAGTAGGTTATAAACTGGGTCTGTACCTCAGACTGCTCTGTAAGCATTTTCTGGGTTAGTTTGAAGTGGGCTTCCGAAGGCTGGGATCTCCAAGTCTCCAGCTCTAACAGAGCTTTTCATGTTTGGATATGACTTCTCTCATGAGTTGGTTTGAGGTATCTAAAATATAATCAGTTAATTAAGCTCCAGTCCCACATTTGGCATCCCACATTCTCTGATATGTCATTTTCAACAGGGGACTGTTGACTAAAGGTTTTGCTCCTACTTAACACCCCACACATTTTATGAATTTTCAGGATTTGACATTGGTTTGAATGATTTCCACTGAAACAAATTGAGTTCCGACACTTACAAATAAATTGCTTTGTAGATTGTCTTTTCCCTTAGTTTCAGTATTTTTTTTTTCATTGTCATTTAACTAAAATACCTTTGATCTTCTTGGTGTCATGATGAGTTCTTATTATTCCTAGCTTCAATAATCCAGAAGCAAATGCACTGTGATTTCCTGCACTGTTGTGTGCACAAAGATAGACCCTACTAGTTGGATGCCCCCCAAAGAAATGCCCTTGGCTGCATCCTTTCTCCAGAGCATTATTCTGTCTATGCAAAGGATGAGTCTTGTTATAACATCTCTCAAAGTGATTGAACAAGCAATTTTTTTTCTTTTCTCTGATGTATTGCTTGATATTCTGAATGCTGATGATGCTGTTCAAAGTATATTCAATCCATTCATTTCACTGAGCCCAAAGAAGTGTGATCATGTCCATAGAAAGGCTAAATTTTAGTTGGAGATAGTGCCTTTCTTTTTTTCTTTCTTTTTTTTAATTAAACAAATACCAGATCCAGTAATAGATATCTTATTTAGGTTTTACATTTATTTTTTTTTTTAAGATTTTATTTATTTATTTGAGAGAGACATAACACAAGCAGGGGGAGTGGGAGAGGGAGAAGCAGGCTTCCCACTGAGCAGGGACCCCGATGTGAGGCTCAATCCCAGGACCCTGGGATCATGACCTGAGCTGAAGGCAGCTGCTTAATGGGTGAGCCACCTAGGTGCCCCTATTTTTTTTTTTTAAGATTTTATTCATTTATTTGACACAGAGAGAGAGAGCACAAACAGGGGGAGCAGCAGGCAGAGGGAGAAACCGTCTTACTGAGCAGGGAGCCCTGCATGGGCTTTATCCCAGGACCCTGGGATCATGACCCGAGCTGAATCAGATGCCTAATTACTGAGCCACCCAGTTTCCCACACTTATTTCTGACTTATAAATTTTAGTTGTTGGTGGTGGTACCTTGAAAGACTGCCTGCTACTCATTTTTAAGGATTCTACAAATATGGAGAGAAGAAATGATGGGAAAAGGAAAGGGGTTTCTTTTCATTTCAGATCTATGCAGATGCCTTTTTTCCAGACCTCCTTGTTTCAGATTTTCTAATTTTGTTCCTTCTAGGCCCTCAACCAACCATCCAAACCATTTCCACAGTCTGTATTTATTCTTACTTTGGGCTGTTCTCTTTCCACACAAAGTAGATGATTTCAGTTAATAATGATAGAACAGTAGAAGCATGTAAAAATACTTTGTACAAATCTAGTGGCATAAATTTAAAAAGTTGGCTGAATAGGTAATTCTCTTGAAAATATGTACGTACATCAAGGTTTGACTTGTAGAGAAGTAGTAAATGTAGGAAGATCAGTAACTATGGAAGCCACTAAAGAATTTGAGGGAGAATTAATTAACTCCAACACTCACAGGGCCCAATAACTTTAGAAAGGAGTTTCTTCGAAATTTTGAGAATCAGATAAGTCTCAGGCTATGTAACTTCAGAAAAAGTGCTGCTCCTGCACTTTGCTTTTTTTTTTTTTTTTTTTGGGGTAATACTGATTGACATTCCAGCACTGATATATATAACCCATGCCTTCTGCAGGGATAATGAGTAAAGACTCCAGGCCTGGGAGAGAGCTTGGGGTCCAATGTGAGTCCTTGGTTGGGATGGCTGAAGCATAAAAAGGAAGAAGTAGTTTCCATAAATGGTGCAAATCCCAAATATCAACGGCTTACATTGTACCATCCCCAAGGACCATCCTCAGAAGATACTATCCATTAGCCTTCCAGTGTTTGCTTCTCCAACACCCAATACATGTCTAAGTTTCCTGGTTCTGTTTATTCCTTGATCACCCATTGTGTGCTACTATCGCTCCCTAGAGGTGTACTTAAGGGTGGGGAATGTGTCTTACTGTTCTTTACATCACTAGTGCTTATACAGTGCCTGCCAGTGAGAAGTCCTCAGTACATGTTCATTGAGCGAGTGAATAAATGGGTGAGTGAATGAATGGGTGAACGGAAAGGTACTCTGTTTGCTTTATGAAGCTAGCAGAAACCTTGATGTTGAAATAGAACTGAAAAGAAAGTTATTGACTTTGATCACTTGTGACTATGTATGCAGAATCCTAAATGAAATTCTAGCAAACCAAATTCAACAGTACATTAAAAGAATCACTTAGTATGGCCAAAGAAGGCTTATCCTGAAACCACAAGGATAGTTTCCTATTAAGAAAACTATTGCGGGTGCTATGGGAATGTAAAGTGTTACAGCCATTTTGGAAAGCAATCTAGCAGTATCTATTAAGGTTGAAAATACATATGTCTTTCGAGCCAGATAGTCCGCTCCTGGGAATCCATCCCAACAGAAGTGAATGCAAACCAGGACACATGTACCAAAATGTTTACTGGAGCAGGGTTGAGAATGGCAAAAAAGTGGAAACCAAGCTAATGCCCATAGAGGTGAAGAGCCGAGTCTGTGATGACTCAGCCACACGGTGGTGTGCTAAACCACCCTGAAAGAGAGTGAATTAGAGATACTCCACATGATCCCCCAAAGTATTACTGAGTGATTAAAAAGCAAGGCGCATACAAGCATATATAAGAAGATCACATTTGGCTAAAAAATAAAAACAAAACCTAAAAAGCAAGACAAAAGGAGACAAACAAATCCCTGTGTCTGTCTATTTACTGGTTGAGGAGGTGTGGATGGTATTACTTTCTTTGTCTGAGATTTCCTTCTTTGTAAAATTAGGTTATTCATAGCGTACATCTCGTAGGGGTTTTGTGAAGATTAAATGAGTTAATATATATAGGACGCCTGGTACATAGAATGTGTCTGAGAACTATTAGCTGTTATGCCAGAAGACTTGAACTGAATATGTAGAATTCAAAGGAAAATGTGGATGAACACACACTAAATTGTTAACCTGGTTGCTTTATGGGTTGATGAGGGGTTGATATGGGTAGAAGAGAGAAGGAAGGTCCCAATAAATAAGTAAAAGAAAAAAAATTTCACGCTGATGTGTTTATTTAAAATGATGGCACATGGGGTTATGTATAAAGAAATAAAATTAAAATACTTGTAAAGGGAGTCATTTATTAATAAGTATATCAAATCAATAGGCATAATAAGAAAAAAAATGCTACAAAATAATATATGCCCAAAGGGCATTTACTATGATTTAGTTCCATCCCTCCTTAAATGTGTCTTGGAAAATTTTGAAAGCTGTTTACTTAAAGATATAAAGGATAATCGGGTGCCTGGGTGGCTCAGTTGGTTGAGCGACTGACTTTGGCTCAGGTCATGATCCCAGAGTCTCAGGATGGAGTCCCGCATCGGGCTCCCAGCTCCACGGGGAGTCTGCTTCTCCCTCTGACCTTCTCTCCTCTCATGCTCTCTCTCACTCTCACTCTCTCAAATGGATAAATAAAATCTTAAAAAAAATATAAAGGATAAACATATTAAACACTAGCTATTGTTACCTCTGATGGCAAAACTTTAGAACAGGGTTTTCTCGGAGTGTACTAATTCCACAGGTGGAAGAAAGGATTCCATAGGGCAATGATTCGGGAACGTGCTGCTCACAGGTAGCCCACAGTTGAGAATAGGAGCATGGCAAAGGTCTAAGACTTTTTGACCATTTAGTTCTAGGTATAATGCCTCTTCTTGGGAGGAACCTTCCCTGGCTGTGTTAGTGCAAGGACCTGCCTGGCCTACTGTTCTCTGTTTACCCCCTCCTTAAGCTGTAAACCATTAAGAGAACGTCATCGCGATGCAGTAAAACTCTGAAGAATTTTCTCCTTGTGTGTTCCAGCTTTTGTCCAGACCATAACTCCATTGATTCAATCAGTGCAAAAGTTTTTCTTCTTAAGGAATTTTCGAAGAAGTTTGTCCTTAAAAAATCAATTTCTGTGGACACTGCCGCTGAGAGTCATGATTATGTAATTTCAGCTGTATGAATTGCTTGTTGAGAAGTATTGGCTCGCAGTGGAATTCTGTGCCTCGGTTTTTCATACTTGCAAAAAACAGGCAGTTATTCTCACATCTCCTCTTGCCTTGAAGTGTTTGGTGCACCATAGAATGCATTTTTATGAAGTCCTTTGAGTTTCCCGGATGGGGCGAGTTTGACATTGGCGAGGCAGTGTTTCGATGGCTATCAATGTCCAGAGGCCCCTTTTCTTTCTCACAGTTAAATTTCCAAAGCTATGAGGGTGGCCAAACAGCTAAGTTATATCTTATCTTTCTTAGTGCTCCATGTGAAGATCTGTTTAAACGGGTACCTTTTCTTTTTCTTTTCTCTTTTTTGCTGGGTGGGTGTTTGGGAGAGGTTTTCAGAACTGAAAAAATTTCGTTATTTTTTTCTTCTTGTGATCGCAGAATAACTGCACTAAGCCTTCATGCTTGGGCAGAACTCTAGCGTAGATCAAATGTATGTTTGCCCCTTATCAGCTGGGCTGAATTTCTGTGTTGTACCGCAGCGATGATAACCACAGTAAGATTTTCTGATTGTGGGCATTTCTACCAGCTACCCTTAGATTAAAATCTCTGTTTGTCCCGAACTGATAAAAACAGATCGGCTCTTTAACCATTTAATATACTTCTTTCTTCTCCAGGTCCTCATGAACATGGAAGACATAAAAATCCGTGAAATGCAGATTTTTGACTACAGGAAAAAAATCGCTGAATCAGAGACTAAGTTAAAACAACAACAGAACCTGTATGAAGCCGTGAGGTCAGACAGGAATCTGTATAGCAAAAATCTGGTTGAGGCTCAGGTAAAGAATGTATTTGGTCTTTACATTTTGACTCCTCCCCCCTTCTGGGTTTAAAGCAGTTTCTGTTTTCCTAATGGCAGAATTGAGAACAGGGCAAACCAGAAATCTCATGGAATTCACCTAAAAGAGAAGATCAGTTTGTGCTGAACTATCAGCTTGTTTGAAGTGGAAATGACACAGCTTGATGGGATGTGAAGATCATGGTCCTGCTTTTAATTATTATGTAGAATTGTAGAATTGCCATTCTCCTGTTTCTAATTTTTAGAACTGCTAATAGCGACTGTGACTCAGAGGGGAGCAGCACGTTCTTGTCATTTAATTGCAAATCTTTGCTTTGTGACCTTTTAGTTATAATGTTTGTTGTGGGGCCAATTCCTCCCTTGTAAAACAAGGAATAAAGCGTGTGTGTTGTATGTGCAAGTTTGTTGTATGTATTGTGTGTATATGGTGTGTTTGTTGTATGTGTTGTCTGTGCCACGTGTGTTGTGTTGTATGTGTTGTGGGTCATGTGTGCTGCATATGTTGTATGTGTCATGTGTTTGTTATATGTATGCATCACGTGTTGTGCACATGTGCTGTCTGTATTGTATGTGTTATATGCATGTATTGTGTTGTATGTGTGTGGTATTGCATGTGTTGCACGTGGCATGCGTGTTGCATGTGTTGTACGTCATACGTGTGTCGTATGTATGTCACACGTGTTGTATGTGCTGTATATATGTATTGTGTGTTTTGTATGTGTGTTGTGTGTGTGGCATAGTCATTTTGCATACTTTGTGAATATTGCATGAGAATATTTTGAGAGTTAAGGTTAGGAAGGACTTGGAGGTTGATGGGCATAAGAGACAAAGGAATAGCCCAGTGGTAATTGTTCAGGAGACCACTGTTTGGAGAAAGCCTCCCTTAAAAGCTCTTGAATATGGATGGAACTTCTATACAGATGGTGTTGTCTATTTAATTCACTTTCAAACATTTCTCCTTTCATTTTATTAGGATGAAATAACAGAAATGAAGAGAAAATTGAAGATTATGACCCATCAGGTAGATCAGCTGAAAGAAGAAATCTCAGCCAAAGAGTCAGCCCTTGTGAAGCTGCACCTGGAACAGCAGCGGATAGAAAAGGAGAAGGAAACTCTGAAGGTATAGAATTGGCAATAAAAATGGTGGTGGCAGGAGTCTGTCTGTTTGGTCCCCCCCCCCCCCGCCCCCGCCTCCTGAGGCAGACTCTGTGCTCACTGAAGGAACAAGGGGCGGGGAGAACAGCAGAGGAACCATAGGAGGAGCCACACCCCCTCCAGGGCAGGTCTCCTTCTGGGCAGTGCTCCCAGGTAGAAGCGGGGAAAGGGCCTGTGGAGACGCATAAGCAGCTAGTTCACCAGCTGCTGTCATCCCATCAGCAGAAGAGAACCGAGCACGTTGGCAGTGCCCAAGAAGTCCTGGGGCTTGCTGGATTGCCACAGTCCTTTTGCATTTACAACTTGCATCCAACACCCATGCCCAACCCACCCAAACTCCTCCCTGGGCCTTCCACAAGGTGCTGCTTGCAAGACCTTTTGTCCCGCTTCCCCTAATAGGTGTTTGCTTTATGTGCACCAGACTTTTCTGCCTGCACTCGCCTTAGCCCCTCCTCCAGGGAATCACCTCTGTCTTCCTGTATATTCCTAAGACATACCCTTTTAAATTTACCAACTTGGCACATCATATGTCTACTAATATAAAGACCTTTTCCAAGAATACATACCAAATAATTATACCATTTCAAATCCTCGAATGAAATATGTTTTATTATACACATTCACTAAACCTGAAGTATTTTTCTTTTCCTATCCAAGTCAATAGATTTCCCTTTTAATCCATTTGACCAAGGAGTTAAAAAGGAACTAAGGGTATGCAAGTATCACTTTCACTTGGGAAATGTATATGCAGAATAGTCATGGGTGTTTATGAGCCACTTGGAGGAAGTCTCTATAGCAAATCAGAGACTGGGTGTCTTGGTTTCTGCATTTTAGTTTTCAAAGATTTTCAAAAATAGTTCCTGTCTTAAAAGTGTGTAGCTGGTGTTGGACGCTTTAAAGCCAAATTTCCTTGATTCCAAGATGCCATAAATTGAAATATGCACTCTCAATTTCATAATAGGTTTTGTCAACTTAATGATAGGTCTTCATGGAAATAAAACTACTACATGAAATCAAGGCACATTTGGTTTGAGAAAGATTAAAATATAACAAAATGTCTGTACAGAAAGGATATGATAATTGATACTTACCTGAGACTTTGATCTCCCCACTCTAGCTTATGATAAAAAACAAATAAAAAATTGTGCATTAAAATTCATTTCCATATAAAGAAATACAAATACATAATTTTAGATTAGAAAATATCCTGCATCTTTGCCCCTGTTTTCCTTGTTTGAAAGAATAATTTTGTAGATGATAGCAAAGCCTGTAGTGGGATGAGTTTATTTATGATTGAATGAATCTGAAGAATCTTATTATAAACATTGCTTCACCATGGGCCGCATGGACCCATGTTAGCAAGGCTTCAGTACAACTCTATTTGGTCATCTCTTTCTTTTTATAGGATGACGTCCATCTTCATCTCTTGCTTTCCTGACTAATTTCTTTTCAAAAGATTGTTACCCCATAATGGGGTCCAAGGTAGAACTACCCACCTTCTTCAAAATTCTGCTTTAGAAAAAGCAATGTGTCCTAAGCAAAAGATCAGTTATTCCTAACTCCCTAGAGTTTGACTTTGGTTAATATTTGTTTCAATTATGCCTTCCATCATCATGCATATATAGCTCCAAAGAAGCATCAAAATAAAAGAAAATAAAGGGCAATAGGGCTCTGTTTTTTGGTCCTGGACCAGTAGAACTGGCAGCGGGTGAACATGGAAGATGAGTTTAAAGGGCTTCTGCCCTAGAGAGCTTGCTCTAAGTGGGGAATCCTAGGTCTGGAGAGCTTGGAACTATCGATTATAGAAAGATGATTGCTTTGGAATTACAGTGAAACCAGGATGACTTTTTCCCTCAACATTTCCCATAGAGGTAAGAATGAGGAACAGAGAAAGGATGCCTGCTTGATTTATTATTTGAGGTTATCCAAGGGTGACTTGTAATGGTGCTACGACTGGATAATTTTGGCCTATCATGGAGCTTGTCTGACATTCTTTAGAAAAATATGACAGCTCAAATGTTGAGTTTCAGCCTCTTGACTTTTTTAGCCTCATATTTGAATCACAATTCGCACAGATCTCTGAATATTATGCATCTGAAGTTCGCAAACCAAAACCCAGGAGGGAAGGGCAGATTTTCTAGTAACCTTGCTCCAAGAGACATTTAGCTTATTATTGTTGTGTTCTACAAAGCTCTGTGGGCACGGAATGCCTCTGGAAGGGCAAGTCCCCTCCTGCGTGGCAGACCGTGGGACACCTTTAGACAGGACCACCCAATTTACTACTTCTCCAAGATGACAAACGGTTGTCCTTAGTAGATCATCTTCGTCCTCATTCATTCCCCTCAGAAGAAACCTCTTGCTCCTTCCATGTTTCTTTTCCTCTCTTAGTTGCTACCAGGCTCTACTGACTCCTCAGTATTCTAGATATCGTCAGCACATTATGGTTATGACAGAATATCAATAGTCCTTGTAGATATTGCCGCATGTGCGTTCATCTGCCCATTCTGTCCCAGTCTTGTCTCATCAGCGCTGATGGAGCCGTCTCATTTGGAGTGTCCTAACAAGCCCCTGATTCTGCCTCATCACCTCCAAATCATCCCACATCACTGTGACAGCGCTTTGATTCCTGGTGAATAATTCAGTGGCAGATTCTCTCTGTCCAGAGCCCGGTATCACATTAGCACCTGGCTTCAGGGCACCTTATCCTTTTCCTAGGATGACCTGGCTGGGAGCTGCCACAGAGAGAGAGGGGAAGCCCCATTATTCCCATGGCTGGAAAACTTCGAGTGGTCCTATTTGTTTTAGATGTAAACAGATGGTTTCTGTGACACCCAATGAATGTCGGAATCATGTACGAATGGGTGAAACACCTCTGCGTATGGTTCTTGAGTTGAGATGTGTACCTACAGCCATATTGGATGATAGATATTCCGTAAACCCCATCACAAAGATAATTGTGGAGGCAGCGACTAAAGAGTGTGTCCTGTGAGTGTCTTACAACTTCATACCACCAGCAATGCTTTGAGAGATTAGGATACCTCAGGTCCCCTCTAGAACATTGTTTGATGGGCTTTTGGGCACACAGCAGTTACCATCTCTCCTGGGTGAGACAGCTCAGATTTATAGCTGCTAAATGCATTAGACTCAAGGTATTTTGTTGATGTTAACATTTGCTGCCATAGTCTAATGCCACATCTTGTTTACAGCCCATAAATTTATGACATAAGGAGACCACTCAGAATTTTGATATATTATGGTAAAAAAAAACACACACACACAGCAATGCCAAACGCGTGAATGGTTTTACATTTCAGACAGATACTTTTACACACCGTTGATTGCATTTTAATATAACGGGGGTTTCATTTTGTTCTGCTGATGGATTCCGATCAGCTCTTGGCACTTAGGAACAGGGAAGTGAATGTTGCACATCTGGGAAAATAAAAGTTTTATTAAAGAAAACATGAGCCACACAGGTATTTTATGGCTGTCTTCACTGTCACCTTAACTGATGATAGAAAGAGAAAGGCCAGTTCTTTGCTCTCTTTCCCAATAGGCAATCCCACCAAGTGGTAAGTACTAGACCAGATCTTTTCTCAGAAAGCCTTTCCTTTCACTTATCCCTAAACCAAAACATATTTCATGAGTGAACGAACCAAATGTCATAAAAGAATCCTTTGATTTCACAGTAGCCAGAGGCATTTAGTCTGTGACAATACACGTGTATTACTAGGCGTGCAGTGTCTTCTACTATTTGGACAAGATTGAGTTATGGAATTCATGGCTCTTGCTCTCCATGAGTCCAACCCAACTCAAGTTGCATTGGGCACTTGCAAATGAGAGGTTTTCTATCATCCCGGTCAACTTTCTGGGTGGGTGGCGGTGGTGGTGTCACAATACTTCCTTGAAGGAAAAAAGGAAAAAACTTTTTTTACTGTCATTTGCCAACTTGCAGGCCACTGAGAAGTTGGAGCCTTAAAATCATCTTGTCGTCTCCCTTGTGTTTCCAGGCATGGGTGAAATCAGAGCTCTCTTCTCATTTGTTTCTTTTTCTGCTGACCTGGTCTGTGATAAAAACCTGTCCTTCCCATGTGGGCATGGAACCTCTCAAAGACATACTCTTCTTCCCTTTAATGAGAATACTTCTGTGGCTCCTTCTTGCATACTCTGTACAGCGTGTGGCGTATAAAGCCCTTCCCTGTCTGGCTCAGTTTTACCTCCTGCTATTCCCTACTCCAGACTCCAATAATCAGCCACACCGGATGCTCGGCTCTATGGTGAACATACTTTACAGTTTGCATGCTTGTCTGGTTAATGCCTTCCCCCAACACAAGCCTCTTCTCTTAGGAAGTATCTGTCAGTTGCCAAGGGTCTCGCTGTTTCTTCCCTCTAACCCCTAGGTAGGCAGGAATTAGAAACTCATCCCTGGGTACCCCCATGTCTTTTTTTCCACAGTAAATACCATTTCTACATTGTAACATGTTGGTTCTATCTGCCATTTCTAATGGATGATGAATCTTTCAAGCCTTACTTTTTGTATTTTGCCTGAAACAATTGGGTGGTGCTAACCACCCCTGCTAGGAATCAAAAGATTCCACAGGCTTTGGAATCAAAAGATCTGGGTTGCAATCTAACCTCTGCTCCTTACTAGCTGTGTGACCTTGGGCAAGCGAATTTGGTTTTCTTTGTCTCCTACACATTGTATTTGTAAAATGGGATGAGAGTAACTATGCAAAATGCCTGGTGTCATGCCTGAGATACTGTAGGTCACAAACATACTCATGGGGTTGAAGTGAATGTGTCCTTGGATATGAGGTATTTCCTGAGATACTGTAGGTCACAAACATACTCATGGGGTTGAAGTGAATGTGTCCTTCGATGAGAGGTATTTTCCTTCTGAAACTGACCAGTCCATGGCACCTCGTCCCCATCACTCTTACAATTTCCATGTAACCTCAAAGCCTCAAGATCTGAGCTCTTCCAGGAAGCCTCCCTGACAACCATAGTCCTCTGACCTCCTGTAACATCAGTACTCTGTCTGTGTGCTAATAAAGATATTGAAAAATCATTGCCTAGAGTTAATATTCACATAATACTTGTATATCTTATCTTCTCATCTAGATTGGAGGCGTCTGAGGAATAGAATCTATATATCTTTTTATATCATGACATCTCTTCTGTTCCATCAAGATAGACACTTGGTCGTTCTCTTTGTTAATTTAATCTTTTCTTGCAATAGGCTTTATCTTTATAGTTGATGTGCTGTTTGTGTTAGGATGATTACAGGAGGTAGTGCATACAAAGGCCCTCCCCTGTCCTCACCCCTACATCCTCCTCTGCACTATTTTATGTGAATTCTCACCTTGTTTAGCTGGGAAGAGAAGAGCTGCTGAATGCCAGTGAAGCCTCTGCTATCCGTATCTAGAAAAAGGATGGAAATCCCTCAAGGGCACAACTCATAGAATAAACATGATCACCGTGATGTACACTATTGTTTCTTTACAGCACTATTGCAAGGCCTGTGTGTGTGCATGTGTGTGTGTGTGTGTGAAGCTGGTTTTGCTTGGGAAAGGGATCAAACCACGCTAAACGAAACATCAGGGGGTCAGTGTAAGAAGAACAACTGTGCATCTAAATCTGGGCCCGACGTCCAGGTCTGTATTGCCACAGAGCAAAATCTCTCTGTATCTTTCATTCTTTGTCAGGCCGAGCTGCAGAAGCTAAGACAACAAGCTCTGGAGACCAAACACTTCATTGAAAAGCAGGAAGCAGAAGAGAGAAAACTCCTGCGAATCATCGCTGAGGCTGATGGGGAGAGGCTGAGACAGAAGAAGGAATTAGACCAGGTAGGAACCCCTCCTCACCAGACCTGCAGATCTCATCAGCAGACACAACTGTGTGCTTCCACTTTTCATGAATCCTCATTCTTTTTCTAGGCTTTGCATTCCATCTGTTGGAAGAACAGCAGTAGAAACCCATCTTCTGTTGATTACTTATGAAATAGTCATTCATTATTCAAGTCATATTTATGAGCACTTACTATCCTTTAGGCACTGGGGATACCCTGGTCAACGGGAAAATAAGGTCCCTGTTCTCAGGGAACTTACATTCCAGTACAATATAATTGCTCACATGTACTTGCAATGAATAATTATATAATTCTGGAGTTAGAAACTCAAATGCATAATTAGGGGGTTAGAACTGAAATGCTTTCAGAGATTTGGCAGGTTGAAAAAAAAGAGAAATTGGCTAGTGTAAGACAGTAAGGACTGGTGGAAACGGGCAAGAGCTAGCCCACCATAAAGTCATTCAAAATCTAACATTTATAAAATAATGGGTTGGGAAAAAAACCAAACACCCAGAGGCCAAGAAATGTGGGATGATGATGATGATGGATGATTTGTTGTACTCTTTCTCTTTCCGATGGGACTGCAAACACATGGGAGGAGCTGTGCTGAATGTCTAGTAGGATCTTTCCAGTGCCCTGCCCACTGGATGCCTAGTACACATACATGGACATTTGAGAGATCTTTGACAGGATGAAAGAGGCTGCCATAATGAAAATGAGACTTTTTATTTCCCTAATGGCCATGCTTTTCCCTATCTCTCTAGGTCATCAGCGAGAGAGATATCCTCGGGTCTCAGCTTGTCCGGCGCAATGATGAGTTGGCTTTGCTCTATGAGAAGATCAAGATCCAACAGTCTGTGCTGAATAAAGGCGAGAGCCAGTACAACCAGAGGGTGGAGGACATGAGAATTCTCAAACTTGAGATTAAGAAACTTCGCAGAGAAAAGGGGATTCTTGCCAGGAGTGTGGCTAATGTCGATGAACTCAGGTAATAATAATAATAATGGTAACAGGCTAATGTCGATGAACTCAGAGGTGAGGGCACTGTGGTCTCGGGGGAGCTCCTGAAATGACCTTATATGTTCGTTGCTTGTTGGTTGTGGAAGGTCTATATCAGGTTGTATAAATCAATTTTCTCATATGATGAAATTATGATCAAATAATGAGAACAACTTTTCCATAATTGAGAATCTACATTATGCCCTTTCTATGTCACCAAAAAAGTGAACTAGTTCGTCCTTAAGGGAATATAAGTGAGTGCAAAAAGATTTTTTTAGAAACGTATTCTGGCTTTTAAAAAAGAAAATTGGGGCACCTGGGTGGCTCAGTGGGTTAAGCCCCTGCCTTTGGCTCAGATCATGGTCTCAGGGTCCTGGGATGGAGCCCCACACTGGCCTCTCGGCTCAGCAGGGGGTCTGCTTCCCTCTCTCTCTCTCTGCCTGCCTCTCTGCCTACTTGTGATCTCTCTCTGTCAAATAAATAAATAAAATCTTTAAAAAAATTAAAAAAAAATAAAACAAAGACATTTCAGGACAGATCACAGACACAAGCTAGATACAATTCAGAAAACCATTTCCCCCAACGAGCTTTTCAGAATTTCTTTAAGTAGGCAGCATGCAAGCGATCGAGCAGCAGTATTTAAATTTAATCCTGGTAACATTTGCACATCTTTTTCTTGGAATTATATACAGAATGAAAAGAAGGAAAAAATTTAATTTTATCACTATTTGAAAACTCTGTTTCCTTAGAAGGCGGCCAAATTTTATATCTCACTCTTGATTTATCTTCTGCAGCTTTCGCTTTAGCTTAGTGGGCCTTCTTCTGGCCTTAAATCTTGTATTATACAAGATCTACTTCCCCTTTGGGAGAACATCACCATGTTTTATGTAGGCAATTGCAGGAAACCAAATAAGAGGCCTGGTGTTGTCTCCGGAGCTGTCCTTATTCCCTGTGGACTTGTAGATGAACAGTATCCTTGACCACCTTGGGACAAGGACACAGGCCGCCTCTGCTTCTTAAATGAATTGAATTAGAAGATAGTGTTGATATTTAGTTGCAGCGATTATATTCAGGAATAGCAAGGGAAGTTGCCACCATCGAGGACGGATCAATACTTTTTATTTTTTCTAGAGTTGCTTGTATTTCAGATGATGAAAGTGGAACACACTCACTGTAGAAAATGTGGCAAATGCGGAAAAAAACATAAAGGAGGGATTAAAAAATCACGCATGGAGTTTACTATCCAGAAATACCACCACTGACATTTCTAAGACAAACACGTTCATTCTAAGGAGCTATTGAGTGATCTCAAAGATCATCACCAAACTTGCCAGCCATGAGTTATTTCTATTATATACACAAAGGACCATATTCTATCCATTCCTAGTCAGTATCACTGGCTTGTGGATAACAACTTATATTTTTCTCTTCAATGGGAAGACAACTCACTGAAGATATTGGAGGCAAGCCAGCATGAATTCCAATCTCAGCCTTGCCACCCACAAGCTGTGTGACCTTGGGCAAATCTCTTAACTTATCTGAGCTTCGGACTTGTAGCTAAACATCAAAACCAACACAATGTGCCTAGCACAGAGCCTAGAACAAAATAACCTGTCCATAACAGTAGCTAACACTCCCTCCCACCCTTCTCTTCTGACGACATTCTAGAAAATCGAAGTGTTAAAAATATGCTTTTAATTCTAAGCAGCTTGTGCTGAGCTCCCTGTTGAGTGAACATCATGCATTTAATTCTAATGGTTTGTCTTGCTAATGAGGGGAAGTTGTATTATTGGTTTAAATGAAGCAATTAAGTAAAAGAGATGGCTTGGTATTAGTAATCTGCACACCCACAACAGACGAGGACAGATAATAATATCCTTATTGCCCATGTCAATGTGAGTGTTTGCCTCTTCTCCGCCCCGCAACAAAGCGCCTTGTTCCATAGGGTGGCTGCCAGCTCCCAGGGTCCTATGAATGGCTGATGTGCAGGCCTATTAACTAGAGATTCCCGCAGATTGGAGCAGTAGGTCTGAGCCGGAGCTAGTTCTTCAGGACTTTTGCAGCCATCTGTGTAGTTAGCTGTGGACCATCAAATAAAATATCACAGCTAACTCTATCCTTCTCCATCCTGGCTGTGCGTTAGAATTATCAGGAGGACTTTACAACCTATGAAACCCAAGTAACATGCTTGACCAATGAAGGTTTCGGAATCCCTGCAGGGGTTGGGTCCAGGTGAAGGTGGGTTGTGCAGCTCCCCAGGTGACTCCAGTGCACAGTCAGGGTGAAATTCACTACCCTGATCGGTGTCAGGTCATCACTGGAGCCTCGGTGTCCTGCAGTCAGGTGCCATATTTTGTGGTAGGACATAAAAGATAGATCGTTCTTTATGTAGAGATGTTTAGAAGCATTGAAGAGCATATTGAAATTCTCATAATTCACTTCCTTCCTGTTCTTCTTATATACTTGTAAACTCCTTGAGTATTCAGAATCATGATTCTGAAGCTCTGGTACTTTGATTAAAGCTAACGCTGAGGTTTTGTGCCCTGCAGGGATTGGTAACATCTGTGTCTGGCTGGAGGCTGGTCTGTGTTCACAGAAGTCTCCCTAATGCCAACTTTTTATGTATAGTGTAGTGGGTCTATAGCCACATAAAGACATGATATCCAAATGGTGGAGAATTTCTTAATAAGACAAAGCTTGTCTTATTCAGGCAGGAGCTTTTCCACATGCAAAGAGAATTCTTGAAGGAGAGGACACGATGTCGAGCCCTGGAGGAGGAACTGGAGAACCCCATGAACGTGCACAGATGGAGAAAGCTTGAGGTAACACCTGGCAGAGCCTTCCTCTCCTCCCCAAATCTCTTCTCCTACCCCACACAATCTCCTACCTAAAGCACAGGAAGAAGCTCGGTTTTATTTAATGCTATGAAAATTGTCACCTAAAATGTAAGTCTGGATCAAATGTAAATTGGGTTGTTCCAGAACCAGATGGTTTACTTGGGTTTTGTTTAACCAGAACCAGATGGTTTACTTGGGTTTTATTTAAAAAGTCTTAGACAAAATCCCTTCCATTTAAAGAAGACCCAGGTGAGTTGTGAGCTGGCATCACCAATTGAGATTTTTCCTGGTAGGTAGTTTTTGGTCAACCAGTACTCCTAACTCTACCTGTCTCAGATTGTTGATTGCCTTCAGCCATCTTGGCTACCAGCAGCTATACCTTCTTTCAGCTCGTCTTTGTATTCTTTGCTGCAGGAAACAAGGCTCTTGTCAACTAGCCCTTTTTTTGAAAGACTAGCATTGTGTTAGCCAAACCCTTTTTCTGAGGATCTGGGGACACAGCAAATGTCTCACTGGTAGCTGATGGACAACAACTCTCATATTTTATTTTAAGACTTCCTGATAGACGTTACCACCAGCCCTACAGATAACAGTTAACAATAAGCTCTGCTTATTCAAAGAAAAGATGGCCCTCTCTCAGAGTTGTGGCCAGCCCTGTGGGTGCCAGGAGGGGCTTTGACGACACCACCAGTTAGGGTTTGGGGAGGGTGAAAGTATAGGACATAAGAAGGAGCCATCAGCCAAGTCAGTTTTTGGTTTTCATTTCTACTTTTTCCTTTTAATGAAGAAAGCATTAAGGACAATGCATTACAAATTGCTATGTAAACATGAGGCCTGCATTTTAACAACGTGCATTCTTGCCAGAAGAATGTATGCCAGATCTAGTCCCAGCATGTGGATGTCAGTTGGCACTGCTTAGTATTTCTTAAGCAAAGTCAAAGTCGGTGGAATGTTTTCTCTCCGTGGTTTTGACCCTAATTTATTCCTCTTTGAATGCCAAGAGTGGTGTCATTTACTAAACCAACAATAATATGGATGTGTCTGGGAAAGTAGAGCTGAAGACTTAAAATTCATTTACTGTTGTGTTAGTTTATTCCATGTGTTTTCAAGCAGATCTTTAAAGTTTCCAATTCCGTGTCAATTTCTATTTAAAAAATTAGAAAATATTGTGGAAGCAGATGAAAATATTTAGCTGCTAGATTAATTCAAAATGTCAGTACAGTTGAAAGCAGAACTTTGGCTCAAAGTCGAGAGGACAGATTATCAATTTATAACTGTAGCATTTGTTTGAATTGTACACAGATAGTTATTGAAGTTGCCTCAGAGCTTAACAGATTGATAACCCCATTTGAGAGCTAAATGCCACGGTTGTGTTTTGCTGCCAATTATTAGCAGAAGTCCACATCCTAGAAACCTTCCCCATCATAGGCTATAATGAATCTTCTTGTTGGCAATTACCAAAGGAGAATCCTGAGTTTGAATAAATTAGGGAAGCCTGTCTCATTCATTCGGAAACAGAGGGCACAGGAGGAAAAGCCTCAGAGCATAGTAATGAAGAACGGCAGGCTTGAGAGCCAGGCATATCTGGGCCGAATCCAGCTCTGACTCTTACCAGTGTGGGTGGACGACTTATTCCTCAGAGCCTCAGTTGCCCTCTCTATAAGAGGGGAAGACCAGTGCTGTCTCTTAGGACTGTCGTGGGCCTAAAACTTGATATTGTATGAAAAGCACTTAGCAGGGTGTTGGGACGGTGGCAGAGAATCAGGTATAATGCATAGTAGCTATCATGATTGTTATTATTAGTATTATCCTTGTTCCCCCCGGCAGAATACACCTGTTCATTTTCCATTTATTGGCCAACTAGAGCCAATAGATAAGACATTAGCCAAACTTCAGCCTTTTTTTGATGGCCATCGCAATCTGTTATGCCCTTTTATTTTTATTTTTATTTTGGTTTTAATTCTCTCTGTGTGGGGTCTGTAGGTTTGTGATACATTTTAATAAGAAAAGAACTATTTTACATAGAGACTTCAGTGCTTTGAACTGATGATATCTCAGCTGCTTTATTTTGTTCCCTCTGAACAGGCCAGTGACCCCAGTACCTTTGAGCTGATACAGAAGATCCACACCCTGCAGAAACGTCTCATCAGCAAGACGGAAGAGGTGGTTGAGAAAGAGCTTCTCCTGCAGGTAGCATCTTTCTTTTCTGGACTCACTGAGCAAGCGTGTTTTCTGAGCATCACCATCTCTAGGTGCTTCTAGAATGAGCTCTTTGGCAGCGCTGCATGGCCCCATCTTTAACTGTAGATGGCAACAGTGACTCACACACAGAGAACAAACAACATGATTAATTGGTCTTTTATGCTGCCATCACTGTTATTTCAAGAATTCTGGAAAATGAAGTTGAAGCCTAGACTTACTGCATTGGGTGATGTGAGCCTGCACCCCCCCCCCCACTTCTCTACAGTTTTATTTGTCAGATTCTTTTAAATACTTTTCTTTATGTCTTTATATGGTGGGAAATGCTATGATCTTGATTTTGGAAATAAGCATTCACATAGAGAGCACAGATGATCTGTCCTCTTGAAGATTTGTGAGATGAACTGGAAGGAAAGGCTTCTTTTTGTGGATTTTATGCATTCAGTTATTCTGGAACAATCAGGAATGGTAAAATCATTTTAGGCCCATGTCTTTGCAAGCATCAGCTGTCACCACCGTTACTGCCATCATGCCAGACTCTGTGCTTGTGGCTTTCCCTACCTGTCTCAGTTCCTCTTCAGAGTTTGGGGGATGGGGTGGCTCTTGTCACCCCCAATCAGTGGATGAGGAGGTTAGGCTCCCGGAGTGAAGCATGGATAAAAATGTAAGCTCTGGGGGCTCCTGGGTGGCTCAGTGGATTAAGCCTCTGCCTTTGGCTCAGGTCATGATCTCAGGGTCCTGGGATCGAGCCCCGCATTGGGCTCTCTGCTCAGCAGGGAGCCTGCTTCCCCCTCCCCCTCTGCCTCTCTGTCTACTTATGACTTCTCTCTCTGTCAAATAAATAAATAAAATCTAAAAAAAAAAAAGAAAAAGAATGTAAGCTCTGGTGTTCGGTGGACAGGATTTGAATCCTGCCTCTGCCAATTTTTACCTGCATGAGGTTAACTTCTCAGCACCTCAGGTTCTTAATCTGTGTTATGGGACACTAACAGAACCTGCAGAAAGGGAGGTTGTGAAGATGGAAAGAGCTTAGTATTATGCTTGATACATAGTGTTTAATAAATATTAGCAATCGTTCTTATTATTTCTAACTCCAAAGCCCATGATCTTAATTGCTGGGTTACCGTTAGTAAGAGCAGGAACTTCTATACCCAAGCAAGGGAATTCTGTGCATTTGCCCCTTTTCTTTTATGTTTTACCTTTAAAGACATTGTCCCTGAGGTTGGGTATATATAGGAAGTAGCTTTCCAGAGCAGGGCTATGCTGAATGGCCCTTCGGGATAGTCCTCTTCTCTTATAGATAAGCATGGTGGTTAGGAGGGCAGACTTTGCAGCCAGAAAGATCCCATCTTGAACCAGCTCCAGTGTCTTATATTACATGACTTTAGGGAGATGTACATAAATTCTCCAAACTTCAGTTTCTCCATCTGTTCAATGGGGACAGTAATACCCTGTTTCTTTACGGGAGGAAGCCACTCCGATCAGAGTATAGAACTTGGAAGTCCTGTTGTGAGGGTAACCAATCCGTGCATGGGCACTGGGGTCTGGTGGGTAGTTTGGGCTTTAGGCTGTAACTCCACCAATGCAGCCACAATTCACGTCCTAAGGCCATGCAACTGGGAAATGGCAGAGTGGGGACTCAAACCAGACCCATCACCTCCAGAGTTCACACTTTCTATCAGTGCATTACCTTGCCTTTATGGTTATTATCACATTGTTTTCTTTTAAAAAGAAGGAGATTTTGTTATAAGTTTATATTTCATTGACTGCTTTAATTTTATTACTTCTTTCCTTCTATAGGCTTTGGATTTATTCTACTTGTTTTCTACCTTCTTAAGACTGAAGCTTAGCTCATTAATGTTAAATCTACTTTTCTATGAGAAACATCTACAGCTATAAAATGTCCTTTAAATGATTTCTTGAGTTCTTCCCCACAGGGTTTGAAATATGGCATTTTCATTTTCTTTTAGTTCTAAATATTTTCTGTTTTCAGAAATATTTCTCCTTTGAGAGTAAGTCTTAAAAATATCTGCTATTCCTCTTATGGTAATTAAAAGTACAACTTTAAATTCCCAAACATATATGCATTTAAGTTATCTTTTAGTTACTATCTCTCATTTTTTTGCGCTGTGGTTTGTATTCTGCTGATTCTTTGGAATTTGTCGAAACTTGCTTTGGGACCAATGAAGGTAGTCAGTTTTTGTAACTGGTGCCTGTGTGCTTGAAATTGTTACGTACTCTCTAAATATTCAAACTTCAGGAGTCTCTGTGATGTTCATTAGATAAACCTTGTTAATTGTGTTGTCCAGATCTATATCTTTCCTAATATTTTTTGTCTGTATAATCACTGAAAAAAAGTTTGGAGATTTATCTATTTCTCGTAGTTCTGTCACTTTTTTTTTTTTTTTTTTTGCTTTAAGTATATTTAAGATTATGTTCATAAGGTGAGTAAAAGTTGCAATTGTTATTTCTTCCTGGTGAATTGTGCCCTTAATATTACATGAGAACCTTCTTCAATCCTTAATGCTTTTACTTACAAAATAACCTGTTACTAATATAACTCTATCTGGGATTTTTGTGCATAAGTTCTCTATACTTTTAAACTTTTGATGTCTTTATATTTTAGGTGAGTATCTTGTAATTTAGAAAAAGTCCAATCTGATATATTTGTCTTTTGATTGGTATATCTAGTCTATTTGTATTTATTGATAATTTTACTTATTTTCTATTATTAACCCTGATTATTTTAATGCTCAAAAAAAGTCTGTTCCTGCTTTTTTGTTGGATTGAGTTTTCTTTATTCCCACATTTTTGCCCTCTACCGGTTACTTCTCTCTCCTCATTACTCCCTATTCTCCTTTTCCTGGTTTATCCAGTTATTTTCTGAAAAACTACCACCACTCAATGTAATTCTCACTCTGTGTTATAGATTTCCTCAAAAGTTGAACACACATCGTAGACATCATGTCTAAGCCAATCCACAGCTGATCCGTATGCTTATTCTTAACAACATGAGGATCCGATGCTTTAACTCCAAAGACCACCGTGATCCTGTCAGCATCATGATTTTTATAGAGTCAATGAATATTTATTCAGATTCACCAAGATGTTTACCAGCTCTTTTGTTTTCTTTGCTTTTCAATTTTTTAAAAATAAGCTCTACGTCCAACGTGGTGCTTGAGCTCACATCCCTGAGATCGAAAGTGACATGCCCCACTGACCTAGCCAGCTAGGTGGGCTTGGTTCTTTTGTTTTCTATTTCTTCATATCCCCAATTCCTTACGTCTAGGTTCCATCTCCTTTTAAAAGTGTATCCTTTCATAGTTATTTCAGCGATACATTTTTTCAGAGGCTAATACACTTGTTTGTTTACCTAAAAATATTTTTATTTTAGCCACACTCGTAAGTGATTAAGTTGAAATTCTATTTGTACTCTCAAGTGGGCAGGACCCTGTGTGAGCACCTAGTGGCGCCACGGAGAAGTCTGTTGTCAGTCTCGTGATTCTCGCTCCTCTTCAGGCATCCCGCCTTTGCTTCTGTTTGGTTGCTAGAGCTTCCCTTTGTCTTTGGTGTCCTGGAGTTTCAGCACCACGCATTTGGTCTGAACATAGTTTTGCTGACTGTGCTTAGGATTTGCCGTTTCCTGAATCTGAATCTGAATTTGTCTTTGAATAGTGTCTCCTTTATCAGGGCACTTGAGTGGTGCAGTCAGTTAGGGTCTGACTCTTGGTTTTGGCTCAGGTCATGATCTCACAGTTGTGAGATCAAGACCCATGTAGTCTGGAGTCTCCTTGAGTTTCTCTGTCCCTCTCCCTCTGCCCCCCCGCACTGTCCCGACTGTGTGCACGCATGCTCTTTCTCTCTCAAATAAGTAAATAAATCTTTAAAAAAAATAGTCTCTCTTTTACCTTCTTTATTCACTCCTTCTGGAACTCTTACCAGATATAGGTTGGATTTTCTCATTCATTCTTCTTTATCTACTGGCCTCTTTGATATTTTCTTCTCTTTATTTCTTACATTACATTTCTGTAGCTTTGTCTTCTTACTCACTAAGTCTCTCAAGGTGTGCTTATCTGCCAATAGCCAATTGAACAAGATTTCCTTTTCAATGATTTTATTTTTATTTTATATAGGTTTTCCCCCCCCATATGACTGGTCTTGTTGCTAGTATCCTTTTTTATTTTTTTTCCTTCCCTTATATCTTCAATTATTTTAAACATTTATTTTATAGTCTTCATTCTATTGGCTGAAGGCCTTGGCAGTCTTTCCTATCATGTACTGTGACTGCTGACTTTGATTCACGCTGGATCTTTTTTCTTTCGTGTTGTAATTTTGGATTATGGACTAATTTCCAGAAAGGCTTTATTTCTAGGACTCTGGAATGGTTCAGGTTCATTTGTTTCAACCAGGTGCCCAAGGAGATACCACTTGCTTAGGATAATTTTTTGTACTGAATTCTGACCTTGGGGTTTCTTAGACAACTTGGTTCATGTACCCTGGAACCCCAAACTCTTGTGATGGAAGAGTCGTGAATATAAATTCTCCAGGCAGCCCAAGTGTTTTTCCTCACTCAAAGCCCAGGAGATGTTGTTAGATTTCTTTGGGGTCTTCCTGTCCCAGCGATTGGACTTCTATCATCTATTTTCACTGAGGGTGTAACCCTGTTGAGTCCTAAGTTTATGTGGAGGAGTCTCAGTACCAGTTACCCACTTCACACAGGCCTAGCACCTCATTGTTTATCCTTTTATGTCTATTAAAGCCCAAGAAACTTGTTCAGTGAGTCCATCCTCTTGTTCCACTCAACCCCCAGATATTTCTCAACTTGTCTAATCCCCAGTTTTTTCATCCATAAAATGGGGACAGTGATAGTACTTACCCACAGAACTGAATGTGTTAAGTCTACATAGAGATTTGCTAGTATGCTTGGTTATCCTCAACAAAGTTCTCATTAACATTATTAATACCGTTAATGTTATTAACCACAAAACAAT